CATTGTGTAGCCTGTGCTTAACTTCAAACAAACAAACATCCTTTACCTTTTATAATAGGGTGCCCCCCCAGAGGCACAGCGGTATGTCTGCGGAATTACAACGCTTGAATCCGGGTTTCGATACCCGTGGTGGGCAGAGCACAGATAGCCCATTGTGTAGCTTTGTGCTTAATTACAAACAAACAAACTTTAATATGGATCTTGCAGTGTAACCTTTTCGAAGAGCTGAGATTTTGTTGTGATCCAAACTGCTGAACATCTCTAAAGTTAATAATTAGTTTTAAAAAAATACCACCATTTAAAAATTCCTGCAAGGTGAAAACTAAATATTTTTATCTTTCGAGCTGATTGGGCATTGTTTTGTATTGGGGTGGGAAAAGATTTATTTTGAATTGCTGTGAATACTTCCAAACGTAATATATCTACTGATTATTCTTTATTTTATCTTCAAGAGTGGTCATCTTCACAGAGAGTTTTCTGCAGGAGGAATATTGTGCAACTGGGATGACATTTTTTTTTTTTTTTGTAAACGGGCTCTCCAACTCGGTCAACTCTTCCGGACTTCATGTCACGCTTTAGGTGTCTTTCAAAATCCTTAAAAGGATGACGGATATGAAGGGATATACTCCAACGTTTCCAGATGACGGCGGCTCTCCATTACCCTCTGCTCCTACTATTGGCCAAATACTGTACAACGGTGAGGACCAAAGTGACGTCATCTTTATGGTGGTACAGGGAGAAAAGTGCTGGCGATTCTCTGCGCACTGTGTCATATTGTCAAGTGCTTCTTCTTTTTTTCGTTCCATTTTGGAACGCAAGAAGACAAGAATTGATTCTGTTATTAACGTGGAGATTAAACACATTCAACCACACATCTTCGACACCATTCTCAAGTAAGTTACTCTAGCGCTAAGTTAATAAACTGACAGAAAGAGGGCGTGTTTAACAAGTGACACTTTTTTACTTAGTAACCTCTCAATAATTAATGAACAGATCGTTACAACGCAGCACAAGAAATTTGAAGCTGTAGTAAAAAGTTATACTTTTATAAAGACAGAGCAATTTCATGGTCACAGGAAAAATAAATTACACGTGCTAAGGAAAACGAGGAATGTGATGGGGGGAGGGACACGTTCAGACGATATTATTATTATGTATTGGAAATTATATGTTGTTTGCACATGCTCAAAATGGCCAGAGAAAAATTATTACTGAGAGACTTTCTAGTCGAATTATACGTGTTAGTTACTTTAATAGGCAGAGTGGCATATAATACAATTTATCATTTGTTTCGAGTTGGGTGCTGTTTAGAAATTCTTGCATATTTGAAAGTACTCTTTCTGACCATACCCTTAACATTTTGTTACAGATACATTTATCGTGGAGCAGAGGAGGTGTGTCTCAATTCGACTGAGACCACGATGCAGCTATTATCCGCGTCCAAAAAATACTTGCTACATGAACTGTCCGCCATCTGCTTCCGTTACCTTCAAGACCACGTGGTGAAGGAAAACGTTCTTAAGGTCCTGAGCTGCACAAAAGATCTTTTTGCTAGTAGCAGTCATGAGAAAGAGCAAAACCAACAAAACGAACTCTTAACCATCTGTTTCCATATTGTTGACACACACACTCAATACTTGTTGCAGGAAAACGATTTCGAGAATCTGGAAGAATATATCGTGAAAGACATCGTTGCTCGTGACACGATCAGTGTTCAGTCTGAGGTCATGGTTTTTAACGCTTTGATCCGTTGGGCTTGTCAAGAATGTAAACGTAGGAAAATGGAAGTAACTTCGATTAACAAACGTGTCATATTAGGTAAGCTCTTATATAGCGTTCGGTATTTGGTGATGAGTTTGGACGACTTTAGTTTGGGACCAGCCATTTCTGGAGTCCTTAGTGATGAGGAAAAAAATGGTTTGATGGCACGCCTTAAGGGGGATTTCTCTTGTCCTCTTCCGGATCAACTAAATGGAAGACAATTAAGAACTACGCGGAAGGGCCCTTTTGTTTCTGTCAACACAACTCACCCTTGCCATCTTGCTGTTGTAACTAATTCAGAAGCGTCTCTACGATCTTATTCGCGAAGAAAAAAGAAAACAATTAAAAAGCTGGTCCAGGGACTTACTGATGCCCTTGTTTATGTATTTCGGTTATTGGACTAATAACTTAAAACTATAATAGGTAATTTTCTTTTAAAGACACGTTTCCTCATATCAGTTCAAAAACTTGGTTCCACTGAAAGTTCACTTAAAAAAACAAAATAATATTGTCGCTCATATCTCTTATTGTACCATTTTGATGATTTAATAAAAATCATAAGACATACCATAAGGAAGATTGCATGTTATCCCAATTAATGGACATAAAAGTAAAGCGTTTATATATAACATTTTTAATTACACAATGTGAAAGAAAGGCAATTAAAAATGGAAGTTTTTGTCAATGTAACACAACATGGATACCATTATCTAGTGTTAATTGACTCACTTTTGTTAATTACATATCCAATTATAACAGTTTTAAAAATGCATCATTCTTATATATCACAAAACGGTTTTATAATTTTCTATCGTTTAAAATGTCATGGAAAGTTTGAGCAGCTAGATTTAACATTACTCTATGAAAATAAGTATAATATGTTCACAGACAGCGTTGAGACCCAACTACTCAACCTTGTATGTTCGATGGACGAGTGACTGACCAACCAGCTTCAATACTTTGTTTCATTAAGACATTCGTTGAGACCCAACTACTCAACCTTGTATGTTTGATGGACGAGTGACTGACCAACCAACTTCAATACCTTGTTTCATTAAGACATTCGTTGAGACCTAACTACTCAACCTTGTATGTTCGATGGACGAGTGACTGATCAACCAGCTTCAACTACTTTGTTTCAGTAAGACATTCGTTGAGGCCCAACTACTCAACCTTATATGTTCTATGGACGAATGATTGACCAACCAGCTTCAATACCTTGTTTCACGGAGACCGTTTTTAAGACCCAGCAATAAAACCTTATATGTTTGATGGTTTGGGTGACTGACCAACCAATCTTGTTTATCACCTACCTAATTGTCTATACATGCATCAATTGAAATCAGTCTGCTCTGTTTGATACTATGCTCGGAAACACGTCGAGGATTTAAAGAAACTATATATTTGTATCTCCAGGAGGCTTTCAGCCACTTTCTGCAGGAGGGAGGATGTTATGCAGATCAAGGAAGTTTTGAGAGACTTGGGCTGTCTGTGTTTGATTCAGGTTCACGGATTAATAAAGCACGAACGTTAAATTAGTAAATCTTCACCATGACAGATTCTTCCGTAGAAAAATATTTTGTTTGTTTGTTTTTAATTATGCACAAAGCTACACAAGGGCTATCTGTGCTCTGCCCACCACGAGTATCGAAACCCGGTTTCTAGCGTTGTATGTCCGCAGACATACCGCTGGGCCACTGGGGGGCAAGATTTTGTTACTGAGACTCATGATACTGATATTTTACATTGAGAGTATAGATTTAAATAGTTTTACATTGAATGTAATAGTACTTTGATATTAGTTGTAGCCCCCAGTGGCACAGCGGTATGTCTACGGACTTACAGCGCTAGAATCCGGGTTTCGATACCCTTGGTGAGAAGAGCTCAGATAGCCCATTGTGTAGCTTTACTACAAACAAACTTATTCGTTTTAAAACCGAAGTTTCCACTTTTGATGATGAGAATAAAAAGTTGCGTGTTCCATACTCTTAGGTGAGCTATTAAACCGTGTTCAGAAACTGTACATTGTTTTTGGATATGTTTAATTATACGAGTTGTATTGTACTTGTATGTGTATTTTGGTGTTTCTGGTTTACTGGTTATCGATTGGCAATTTGAACGCCGTAGATAAAGTGCTAGATTAAACGCGAATCTTAAATATTTGGTCAACAACTTCCAGATCGCAAATTGCTAAGCTATCCATTTTGTAGAGAAATGCGAGTATCACGTTCTTTAATTCGAATAAACTATTTTATTGGTAGGAGAAGACCATTTTGTTTGGGTATTTCTGTGAGTCTCATCTGAGCACTCGACTCACAATCTGTGGGTCGCACGTTCGAATCCCACCACCGAACATGTTCGCCTTTTTAGCCGTGGAAGCATTATAATGTGACGGTCAATCTCAATATTAGTTGGTAAAAGAGTAGCCCAAGAGTTGGCAGTGGGTGGTGGTGGTGACTAGCTGCCTTCTCTCTGTTTCGTTCATGCTATTCTCGTACTTCGCTTTCCCTTCTTATGTCCATCAACTTTATTTACGTTATACTTATTTCTCTCAGGAATTGATTCATACCAGTATAAACATAACAAATTACTGTTTATTACTGTAATCAATAACACATAGATTTAGAAATTACGTTTAAGTTTTTTTTTTTTTTTTTTTTTACTGGCAGCATATTACTTTTTTTCCATCGCCTTTAGGTTTATTCTTTCTCTCTCACACATTCCCCGGTCTTTTTCCATTCATTTTCTTTTCGTTGAACTCCTGTTTTTTGTATTCTTTTCTCAAACCCGGTCCCTTTCTTTCTGATCTTGTTTGTTTTGTTATTAATTTCGCACAAAGCCACACGAGGGCTATCCGCGCTAGCCGTCTCTAATTTAGCAGTGTAAGACTAGACCAACTAATAGTGGGATTGACCGTCACAATATAACGCCTCCATGGCTGAAAGGGCGAGTATGTTTGGTGTGATGGGGCTTTGTGATGTGGTGTGGGGGTCTCGTAGCTTCCGTACTGACTGAACTTAAAAAGGCGGCCGCTCACTTCAATCATTTTCTAATGACTTAGAGAACTGGAATCCCATAATTCCCTAGAGACTGGCTAAAGGCCGGCCGATTTTTCACAGTCTTACAAATTCAACCGATGTTACCTTACGCCTAACTTCATATTATTCCCGAGTCCAGGAGTCGGCAAACCTTCAAAGAAGATCCTTTTTTTTTTATCGTCTAAGACCAGAACATTTAGAGAGCCGAAATATGCCCTAACGGTACTAAACGTAAAAAAAAGTAGAACAACAGTAAATTTTCGGATTTGTGACGCTAAAATCAGGGTTCGATTCCCCTCGGTGGATTTTTTTTCCCGTATAGCTAAGCCTTCTAAGGCAATTGAGGAGTTAGTTAGAATGTTAACAGCGCAACTCTATTCTAAATAAAAATGTGTAAATGTTGAGAATAAAATTTTTACACCATTGTGCCTGAAATTTCCCTACTTTTCTTCACAATCCGAGAGCCGCACACATCTTCTTAAAGAACCGGAAGTCGTTGTCCCTTGCCTAGTCTATGACTTCAAAGTTAGGGACGGTTATTACAGATTGCTCTCGTAACATTGCGTGAAATTCGACATAACAAACAAACAAATCCTTATCTGAAAGAAAAGTATTAAAAAGGAATTTCATTCGTTTCCAAATATTGCATTTACGAAAATACTACGTTAAGAATTGAACAATTTCTAATAAGTGGTATTAAAAATTCACATAGCAAAATATAAGCATTTAAATAACTTCGATCCAAACTATATACATTAAAAGATTTGAGGGGAAGTTTTGGGGAACGTTAAGAAATATATATTACTATTTAATTATTTAATATTTATTTTTACGTTTAAAATCACTTTGAAACAATTGCGCATAACATCGCCAGGGCGGCTCTGTATTTGTATTATAGGGGTATGTAAAGTACAGTAATATGAAGTGCGTTTACTGTATTTATGATCTGTCATCTGACGTTATAGGCTACCCACTAGTAAGCAGTACAGAATCGTATGAACAATAATTTGGACATCTTATCAGCAAGATTGAATTAAGCCTGGTTGCAAGACATCGAGTAAGTGGCGTGTAATATAAACAAATTTTAGTATTCTATACATAGGTAATGTAATAATAGAGCACTAAATCCAACATTGGTAATTATAGTTAAGGTAACCCTAACATTACAGCAGGTAGCCAGATTGGGTAGTTATTTTACAATGTTTTGTTTACTTAAAGCCATCTAACAAAAAGTATAATATACCCTAAAACACAAACGTTGTAATAAAATCTGGTTTTGGCAACAAGCAAGTGACTAATAATGAGATAACAGTAAATCAAATTATAGTAATGTCATTTAATCAACGTTATAAAATTGTAAGCAATTTCAGTACCGAGTTACGTAATTTTGCTATTGACCAATGCCTTAACCGCTTTAGGCACAACTAAAGCACATTTAGGAGCTCGCTATATATACAAAAAAAATGTTCAATTAATGAGGGGGGGGGGGCAGATGTCACTATCAAGATTACCTCACAGGGGTATTAAAAATCAACAAGTATTATATCATCGTTTCTACTATAATTGGAATCGAAACATTCGTGCGCAATTTGAACCGTCAGTCGAAACCAAAGACAAGTATTGGAGTTTCGGAATTCTGATTAAAAGAGGTGGGGTTGCGGGCACCCCAGGATCCGCCCATAAATTTTAATTACATTAACAGTTGAGTATTTTTCCTGTGTATCGGTTTCACATTACATTTATTATTATTTATTCTGTAGTTAACGAATATTTCTTGTATACTAAAATACAAATTGTTAGTTCCATTGTACACCTTAATATTTATGATAGTGACAACAGAGAACTAGTGAATAATAAGTGTTCGTAGATGTGGTTGGAACAGTATTACCGCTAGTAGAAGGTGCCTTGTGACGCCACACACACCACCTGCAGCTGTTTTCCAGTATACCTTGTATTTATCTTGGTGTCAGGGAGTTACTGTGGATTATGAGAATCTTAGGCCTAACGAGCATTTTATTATGTCATATGGGTAAGTATGAGTAAATTTTGAGGGGGGGGGACGCATTTTACAGACCTAATCTTGTATTGCCGTCACTCAAAAAATACTATTGTTGATAGAAGTAACTTACACAATTTGAAGTACAATAGTTGTTATTTTAGCTTTTTTCGTCAACGACTAAACTTGGTGGGCTCTCATTAATGTACTTAATTAAGAAAAAAACATTGCAGAATGTAAATAAAATGCCAACATTATAAACTGTTCGTGTTCATTGTGCTTATTTCAGGATATTGGATACAAAATGACGTCGGTTAATATCACTTAAAGTGGGCGCGACAGAAAATTCGTTATTTACTGCTGCTACGACTCTGTATCCAACCTCAGTGGTACGTTTTGCTGTCGAATGTTTACTGTTGCTTTTGTAAACATAAAGTATTACGTGTCAAAGCAAAAAAATCTATCAAGGCACACGGTAGTGTGTCGTACGGCCAAAACAACCTAATGCAGGACACACTACGTGTTTCTAACAGGAGCGA